TAAATTTTGATTATCCTTCATAATGTTTTAGATTGCTTTTAACAATTTTGAGCCATTCCCAAGGAGGAACACCATCAATAGCAAATGCCAGCTGTTTGCTGCTGAGTTCTATGAAGAATACCCGAAAAGAAAGTCTCAATTATTATACTAGCACCTACATGTACTAATAAACCCAGTCCACCATCACTAACTGCCACGTCTTCTCTCGAGATGAAAACTCGAAAACAATTTCAATGGGAGTGTGCCTGTATTGTCAATGCAGAGTAAGTGCCATGGCTACCATTGTTATAACTCGTCGTGGTTACCATTGTTAGGGGAGGTCGAAGGTCTGGTGTCAATGACCACACCCTCTGATGACCATGCTGAACCGGTATTGTATCGTAGAAAGAACTTCGGTAAAACTTTTAGATATCAAATAAGGTGAGACACTGGAATTGAAGACGGCAAGCAAGTCTATGAGCTATGCCACTTGAGTATGTAGGGTTCTTCCTGAAAGGAGTGTTCACATGTCACTATACTCAAACCAGTAAAGTAGGTCATGTGACTAGATATCATGTGACTCTTGTGTGTGTTTAGGTATGAGGGTCAGTTGTGTGTCATTAGTTGTGTTAGTACTAGTAGTGTGGTTGAGAAAGCTGTTCAGTTGTGGCAATGTTCATCATCTCTCTCACCTAATCATGTAAGAATACACAGACATTAAAATATGATTACAGTTAGTTCATACACTGTAGAGCTAGCTCACAATGCACTACACGATATCACTTTCAAATAAGATGTAAAGGCATATTTTTGATCACAGTCTATAGCACATTTTTGTTAAAGTGCATCAACATCTTAATTTCCTCTTTCTGAAAGAAATGGGACATTTTTTGACTTTTCATCAGAGATCATTTTCCATGTTCTTTTCAGTATCAGAATTGATTTCTTATATTTTCTGTTGTACATGTACATGTACCTTCATAGTTCATACTCCTAAATACATTTACATGTATAGATCTATGTGCTAAATTATTTATAAAGTCCATTCTATTTGTCTTTTAGTGGAACTATACTTGTACTCCTGAATACTATGAGTGCGTTACTAAGGACTGGTATCCAACCGCTCCAGCGATGATGTCATCACTGACCAATCAGTCATCACCTCATCCTATCAATGATAGAAGTAGGACCTACTCAACAATACTAGGAGTTCCACTCATTT